GCATAAATGGAGGCTGCTCTGAAAATGATTTGAAATCAATATTCTGTGCAGAAGACTTTAAAACTGTTTGAGAGTACAGTGTTCACATAAAAAAAGTTTAACCCCCCCCCCCACAACTGTATCTATCATGGGACAGTCAGTAAATCAAAGATCTATCCTGTAGGGCTATGGGGCCTACAGTGTGAGGTTAGAAGATGAACTCCCATCATGAGAAAAATCAAAAATCTAATTTAAGAATAACTGGCACTGCTAAAAATCTCATCTTTGATCATGGACAAAATGAATCAAAACGCAGAAGAATCCAGGTTGGCTGAAATTCTCTACTTCGTTTAGAAAAAAAAAATTGATTTAATAATTAGTGACAAAGTTGTGGCTGCAAAATCAGTGTCAAATCAACTTGCTTTATCAATTTCCAGACAAAGGTCATACAGTTAGGGTTCTGCTGTGTTCAATTTAGTTGAAAAAAAGTTTAGATAGCACACGTTTAATCTTATAAATGTTCATATCACTGTAAAGAAAGAAAGCAAAACAGAAGCCTGATTAGAATATCAAATAATTAAGTAAACTCCTGCCCCAAGAGTTTTGAAAAAATCAGAACTGAATACAGGGAAGGGTGTGGGGAGAAAAGGCAATTCAAAACATTTCCAATATGAAAGATATTCAAAAGAAATGTCTTTTCAGCCACAGGTTTCAGAGTGCTACATGGCTGGGAAAGTATCCTCCTCATCAGCCCTATTTTACATATAGGGAAACTGGGTAATCAGCTTGCCCATAGACAGGAGCAGAGACAGGAATAAGATCTGGTTGGGATACAAGGAAGCACCTCAAGGAGTTCAGGGACAGCAAAGATGCTTTTAATCAGCCTGAACAGGTGATATAAGATGCTAATGCTTCAGAAATGCTACTTTCTGAGCCATGTTCAATTTCTGATTAATTTTGTATATATTTGCCCAGCTAAACTCCCTTCTATCCATAAAACCAAAGCATAATTTGAGGGATGGGAGAAAAAGTAGAAAATAAAAAGAGCTGTATTCCTCTACACATAACATTAAGAATATACAAAACAGAATATATAAATCAGTATATATACATGCAGAATATACAAATAAATCATTTTTGGAATAAATAGCTTTGAATAAAAAAATCATTTATTTACGATCTGTACATGGGATAAAGTGGGGCCTCATACAGACCTTCAAAACAAACAAAAAAGTAAAAACATAAATATGTATTTTCTTACAAAATGAGACATTTACAATATATACATACTGCATTGCCTTACTTTTCCATGTGCACATTGTGAAAGACAAGAAACAAACCCTGCTTACATTTGAGATCAGGAGAACTGAAAGATTTGACTCATGGGGTATTCTTTCCCCTGCACGCCCCCCCCCCAATTGCTGCATGCTCGATAGACAGCAAGCTGGCTATCCTCACCCTGAACACTGTTTTTTAAAGTTTCCTTCCAGTTTACTGCTCTTCATTCAGGGAGGCAAGAGGTGAGAGGGGAAGAACAATTTATGGCAGGGGGTGGAAAATCTTATAAAAAATCCAGAACATCATTATTTATCTTTAGGGAAGAAACAAAATCAAACCCTTTAGATCATATCAAGCTAAAAAGTAGTAATTTCAGAAATAAAAATATTTTAAAGTCACGTTATAAAATTTAGCATGATTTAAGAACAAAAAAAAAAAATCAATCACAGTTTGGAAGGAATATGGCACTTAGAAGTTTAGTTTTTTAATCAGTTAAATCAGTCTGAAAATGTGTCACTTGTGATCGCTGGGAACTTCAGTGTCTGCACTTTTATTTAGAAAGTACAAAATTCCTCACACCCACAATAAATTGACCAGATCAATTAAAAAAAAAAAAAAAAGTGTGTGTGTGGGGGGGGGGGGAATCACTGTACCATGATGCACTAACGTGCCCTCTAGGGAAATAAGAGGATAAGGCAAAGGGGCAGTTCCCGATCTAAACTCCTGTTCTCCAAATTCAGCTGCTCTTTTAGTGGACCCAGGGCATCCCAAGAAAGTGGGCTTGTAGGGAGACCAAGTGGTATGAACCTATCTCAGCACAGCCTGGCCTGTCAGGTGTTCTGAATTACGATTTCTTTTTAAGTCTGGCTTTTCCCTCCGCTAGAAAAAAGCAACCCGGACTGAGGAGCGTGGAAACACCCCGCCACCTCCCTCTCTCATGAAAGGAGCCTGCATCTGCAGGAACTAGTCCCCACCCCACCCCCCTCCTCCCCAGGCTGCACCCCAACGACTTCTTTTTTTTAGCTTGCCTATAAAAACCGATTCACTCAC